CTAACAAATGTGTCACTACGCACGACTGAAATTGTACGTTCATAACCGTAGCAACAGACCCCAGATGAGCCCAGACGCTCTGCGGCTCTTGTATTGTATACGGAGCGAGATTGAGTTGATAAAATAGCTCAACACTTCGAATTGAAGATTTGTTGTGACCAGGACGCAAACCGCGCGTACTAACGTTGTTCCTAGGAAAATCAGTTAGCTACCCCCCAGCTGTTCCGGCCCTGGGCGCACAGAGACCTAGTTATGCGATCAACACCTATGCAGACACTTGATATGGCAATAGCGAATTACTCGCGGACAAACTGCCCACATTAAAACCCGCGCGTACGTGTTTATTCCAATATTGACCAAATTTAAGAATAAATTCAAAACGTGAGGCCATGGCGGCTGCCATATTAGCTCCTTTTCCATAGATGGGTTCCGTATCTCTTTACTTTGTTTACTTTACATTGACGAAGAGACTAGGAACCCATCTATGCACTGCTATCACGTGACGTAAATCCGCTGTTTTCGACCTGTCACCACACTGTGCTGTCACCTACCATAACACGGCAAACATTTTTACGTTCGGTCGTATAAAACCAGCCGCTGTCTACCGGTCATATGTGGCTACGATGGAGAGTGATAACGACCCGTCACGAGTTTCGCCCGGTTATATGTATATTTGCTATGGAGTATATACCGGGTGACCGATTGTGACGGCAGTCTTTATGCAAGCTGGCGAATATACAATTGAACATCGGTAACTTAGAACAAAATTTGTGTTGAAACTAAAAAATAAGCTTTTCAATAAATAGTAATGACCAATCACAAGTAATGTCAATAATAACCACCAATCAAATGGTTGATATGCCGTGGCAATAGAACAGTATGTCAGCGCACAGTAACGTAGGGCGTGACACGTTGATGGGACCTTTTTACGTTTAGAGCAGGAAAGAGGATTTGACTAGAGGTCTTGATTATTCACGTATAAAATGTATACATTGTTCTCAGCAAGGGACTATAATAAGAGACGGAGAGATAATTAAGGTTCATCAAATCGGTAGATCAACTCGGTTAATAGCTCTACCAATATATTTCTATAGAGGGTTCCGCGACTTGCACTAAAAATAGCAATATTACCTACAATCCCGTGCCTAAGACTAGTAACAGTCTGCACAGCGCGACAGCATGCTCACTTGTCATCGCACCACGAACCGCACAACACGGCAGGGAACGAAACGAAAATCTCGCCCCCTGTTGTTGAATGCCGCCGCTAGGGGGCGTCGACGCAAGAGTATCCGAGCGACTTGCATTTCTCGCACAGGTGCTGGGGATGCTTCTTGATTGGGTCGGACACGTCGAGGCCGTCCGGCTTCTCTAGGGGGCGCTGCAAGCAGACGCGACGTCATTTATTTATCGGTTATTCATCGTTTTTCAATTAATTCATTAATTTTTATTTATTTACGTATTTATCAATTTTAATTAATTTATTTATTTATTTATTTAATTATTTATCAGGCGGGACGAATCTTTGCGTCGTTTGTGGCGCCACGGAGCAATAATTCTTTGCATGCGCGACTCACTGGTAGAAATTCCCCTTTGTCTAGCGGAGAAAGAATTCCAGCGAGGCCGTGTGAAGCCGTAAATATAATAAATAACATAGTCGAGTCTGCATAGTAGTAGCATGATGTCATCAACCAAAAGATATTAATTAATGAAGTGCAGGTGGGTTGCAAGCAATATGTGATGCCCTGTTGGTTGCAGCCCGACGCGAGAACATTTCTATTGACGTTTTCTGCTTCCACAAACCAGGGTGCTAAAAATAACGCGAGTCCGGAGTCAAATACTCCCTGATTTACTGTCGGAGTCCCTGATTTGACATATGCAGTCCGTGTGACTCCCTGAAAATTCTGCCATCCTAACTAGTTCGTTCCGGAGCACGGCCTCGCGGAATTAACGTGTTTTTTTTAGCTAATGTCCAAAGAAAATTTGGCAGACGTACAACCGCATGAATCTTAAAAATAAGCACATGCGTTATTGTTAATATCTTTAATTTTGAACCTCAGACTGCGGACTCTGTTATTTTGCTGTGGACTCCCTCTTTTTGAGTGTTGGGAGTCAGTTGGACTCCCGTGTTCAAAAGTTAATTTCTACTCCTGACAAACTGCATGGAAGCAGCATAGCTGCATGGAAGCGGTGGCGGCAGGGAGCAGGATTCCTACCTGTTTGTGTGGGTAGACGTTGATGTTGCACTTGTTGCATTCCTGTCCCATGTTGGCCCAGCTGTTGCCCGACATCCACCGCCGCTTGCACTTTGGGCACTTGTACTCACCGAAACAGCGCTCCTCATCCTGGTGCGGCGTCAGTCCCTCTCCTTTTGGTCTCGCCTGAAGGCAGAGTATCGCACGTCAAAATTTCGGCGATTACGAAAATACTTTGGTTCCCCCGCATCTTTAATTCGCACCCGATCACAAGAAAATGCAAAGATATTTGTTGAGTTAAGATCATGGCAAAATGCTATATTGGATTTGTTAATTAGGATCATGGGATAATGTTATACGGTTCATTAAAATCAATAGAACACATTAAAATCATGGCAGACTATTATCGGGTCCATTAAAATCATCGCAAACTGGACCCTTTAAAATTCGGAGCAAATTATAATTGAGTTTGTTAACCCACGATGCTGCGACGAATCTGCTCGACTGGTGGGTATATACGACGCTACAGGATATCTTTGCCGCTTACATATAAGAACAGTTTACCAAAGGTATCAAATCAGGGAGTCCGACAGTAAATCAGGAAGTATTTGAGTCCGGACTCCCGTTAATTTCGCACCCTGAAACTTTGCTGCTGTTTATACATAAGAACAGTTTACTACGGGCCGCGTTCCACTTCGACGAGAGAAGGGGGAATATTTCCGATCCTCATTGTTCAAATTATAGATCGCTGATCGATGAGTTACTGTATTACAGGCTGTACGCTAGAAAAACAGGCGACCCGGCCTCTCTCTCACGCTCTCTATTTCTCTCTCTCTCACGCTCTCTCTTTCTCTCTCTCTCTCTCTCTCTCTCTCTCTCTCTCTAATCTATATTAGCAGTAAGTGGATCCCGGTTTTGCAGACAGGTTTACCAGCGCGTGTTGGCGTGCTAGAGTTCGATATGATTGTGCAGACCCGGTTTTACAGCTAGGGTGTTGCAGGCAAGTTTATCAGCGTGGGTTGGGGTGTAGTCTGCTAGAGTTCAATGAGATTACGCACGTCCGGGTTTGCAGGGTTTTGCACTACTCCTCCACACTTCTACTCCTGACAAACTATAGCAGCTGCATGGAAGCGGTGGCGGCAGGGAGCAGGATTCCTACCTGTTTGTGTGGGTAGACGTTGGTGTGGCACTTGTTGCATTCCTGTCCCATGTTGGCCCAGCTGTTTGCCGACATCCACGTCCGCTTGCACTTTGGGCACTTGTACTCACCGAAACAGCGCTTCTTAACCTGGTACGGCGTCAGTCCCTCTCCTTTTGGTCTCGCCTGGAAGGCAGAGTATCGCACGTCAAAATTTTGGCGATCACGAAAATAATTTGGTTCCCCCGCATCTTTAATTCGCACCCGATCACAAGAAAATGCAAAGATATTTGGTGAGTTAAGATCATGGCAAAATGCTATATTTGATTTGTTAATTAGGATCATGGGATGTTATACGGTTCATTAAAATCAATAGAACACATTAAAATCATGGCAGACTATTATCGGGTCCATTAAAATCATGGCAAACTATTACTGGACCCTTTAAAATTCAGAGCAAAATATTATTGAGTTCGTTAACCCACGCTGCTGCGACGAATCTGCTCGACTGGTGGGCATATACGACGCTACAGGATATCTTTGCCACTGTTTATATATAAGAACAGTTTACCAGAGGTATCAAATCAGGGAGTCCGACAGTAAATCAGGGAGTATTTGAGTCCGGATTCCCGTTAATTTCGCACCCTGGAACTTTGCTGCTGTTTATACATAAGAACAGTTTACTACGGGCCGCGTTCCACTTCCACGAGAGAAAGGGGAAGATTTCCGATCCTCATTGTTCAAATTGTTGATCGCTGATCGATGAGTTACTGTATTACAGGCTGTACACTAGAAAAACAGGCGACCCTCTCTCTTTCTCGCACGCTCTCCCCCTCTTTCGCACGCTCTATCCCCCGCCCACTCACTCACTCATTCTAGAGTAACATACGGCAGCCCGCCCAACCACGCGCGCGCAGCTATGCTGCTGGACAACAACTATT